TCAAGGGGCATACAATCTAAAGTCCCTAACTCTCACATACATACTAGGGCCAATTTAGACAGGAGCCAATTAACCTACCAGCATGTCTTTGGAGTGTGGGAGGAAACCTGAGTACCCAGAGGAAACCCCGCAGTCACAGGAAGAACATACAAAAGCCAGGCAGGTGGTGCCGGGGTTGGGATTCAAACCAGCGACCCTAGTACTGCCAGGCGGAAGTGCTAACCATTTAGCCACTGTGCTGCCCGAATTCTGCGTGAACTTGAAAAGTCTGCTACAGAGACAATTGACATGGTTCGGCAAGTTTATGGCAATGCTACAATGAGTAATTTGAGGTGTTTTGAGTGGCTCTTGCGGACTGTGCCCTCTTCCCGAAGATGAAGATCTAGCTCAAAGGTCGCCGTTTTGCCAACATTGAACAGATACAGCGCAAATAGCAGAAGGTGCTTGGCACACTTTGGAAAGAAGACTTCCAGGACACATTCCAGAAGTGGAAGGAATGCTGGTATTACTGGGCAAGGGGACTATTTTGAAGGTGATAGTGTGTAAACGTAGATAACTAAAGTACTTTCTTGTAAACAGAGCTAGTCTCAACTTTTTGATACCACCTCGTACCATAGGGTGGTGTCCGTTCAGGTCCAAGGAAAAAAAATGGGAAAACAGAGCTAGTCTCAATTTTTTGATACCACCTTGTACCATAGGGTGGTGTCCGTTCAGGTCCAGGAAAAAAAATGGGAAAAGACTGCATCCTTTTTAATTTTTCTGGACCTAAACATGACAGATCAGAGGTGTTTTGTCACAAACAGACAACGGAGTCCGCTTACATCTGGCCCCCCATAGAGCTCTTACAGGTCTGCCTTAGTTCACTGGGCACAGACTGAACAGTCACAGATGTCAAAAACCAACATTCATTCCATTCAGCAGGGATCTTTTACACTGACTTTTCTCCATTGGAAAGGAGCCTTACAAAAATCACAGTACTTCGCCTGACAATGCCTTTATCTACTTTTCATTCCAGAAGGATGGTGCCATCTTTTTCAGACATCATTTGGGGTCAGCATCTACTTCCTGCTCAGATGCTGACTCAGAGATAACACATTCATGTAAAGTATCCTCTCTCAATTAGAGATGAGCGAATCGAAGTAGCCGAAGTGGAATTCGAGTCGAATATCGGAAAAATTTTGATTCGCGCCGAATCCGAAAAAAAAATAGCCTAATTCGGACGCGCGAATCGAAATTTTTCCGAAAATGGCGGCTGACATGTGCGGTGACGGAGCGGGGATGTCTGGGAAGGCGCGCAGACAAGGCGCGCTGACCCATAATGCATTCCTCAACGACATGTGATCGCATCAGCCAATCAGCAGCCAGCCAGCTAGCACTGTGTAATGGTCGAGCTATAAATAGCGGCCATTTTGGAATTCTTCATTTGCCTGCAGTCATTGAACAGAGGCAGACCGCTCTGTATTAGGGACAGGGACAGAGTTAGGGCCACAGAAACGATACTTGGGGACAGAGAAACGATACTTAGGACAGAGAACTATTACTCAGGGACACAGAATTGTTAATTAGGGCCACAGAATCGTTACTTAGGGACAAAGAAACGCTAGTTAGGGCCACAGAATTCATACTCAGGGACAGACAGAATTGTTACTGAGTGCCAGAGAATTGTTATTTAGGGCCACAGAAACGTTATTAGGGCCACAGAATTGTTACTCAGGGACAGACAGAATTGTTACTGAGTGCCAGAGAATTGTTACTTAGGGCCACAGAAACGTTATTAGGGCCACAGAATTGTTACTCAGGGACAGACAGAATTGTTACTGAGTGCCAGAGAATTGTTACTTAGGGCCACAGAAACTTTAGTTAGGGCCACAGAATTGTTACTCAGGGACAGACACAGAATTGTTACTGAGGGCCACAGAACTGTTACTTAGGGCCACAGAATTGTTTACTCGCACAGACACAGAATTGTTACTCGCACAGACACAGAATTGTTACTGAGGGCCACAGAACTGTTACTTAGGGCCACAGAATTGTTACTCGCACAGACACAGAATTGTTACACAGGGACACAGAACTGTTACTGAGGGCCACAGAACCGTTACTTAGGGCCACAGAATTGTTACTCGCACAGACACAGAATTGTTACTCGCACAGACACAGAATTGTTACTCGCACAGACACAGAATTGTTACTCGCACAGACACAGAATTGTTACTCAGGGACACAGAACTGTTACTGAGGGCCACAGAACTGTTACTTAGGGCCACAGAATTGTTACTCGCACAGACACAGAATTGTTACTCGCACAGACACAGAATTGTTACTCAGGGACACAGAACTGTTACTGAGGGCCGCAGAACTGTTACTTAGGGCCACAGAATTGTTACTCGCACAGACACACAGAATTGTTACTCGCACAGACACAGAATTGTTACTGAGTGCCAAAGAATTGTTACTTAGGGCCACAGAAACGTTATTAGGGCCACAGAATTGTTACTCAGGGACAGACAGAATTGTTACTGAGTGCCAGAGAATTGTTACTTAGGGCCACAGAAACTTTAGTTAGGGCCACAGAATTGTTACTCAGGGACAGACACAGAATTGTTACTGAGGGCCACAGAAACTGTTACTTAGGGCCACAGAATTGTTACTCGCACAGACAAGAGAATTGTTACTCGCACAGACACAGAATTGTTACTCGCACAGACACAGAATTGTTACACAGGGACACAGAACTGTTACTGAGGGCCACAGAACCGTTACTTAGGGCCACAGAATTGTTACTCGCACAGACACAGAATTGTTACTCGCACAGACACACAGAATTGTTACTCGCACAGACACAGAATTGTTACTCGCACAGACACAGAATTGTTAATCAGGGACACAGAACTGTTACTGAGGGCCACAGAACTGTTACTTAGGGCCACAGAATTGTTACTCGCACAGACACAGAATTGTTACTCGCACAGACACAGAATTGTTACTCAGGGACACAGAACTGTTACTGAGGGCCACAGAACTGTTACTTAGGGCCACAGAATTGTTACTCGCACAGACACAGAATTGTTACTCGCACAGACACAGAATTGTTACTGAGGGCCACAGAACTGTTACTTGGGGCCACAGAAACGTTAATCAGGGACACAGAATTGTTACTGAGGGCCACAGAACTGTTACTTAGGGCCACAGAATTGTTACTCGCACAGACACAGAATTGTTACTCGCACAGACACAGAATTGTTACTGAGGGCCACAGAACTGTTACTTGGGGCCACAGAAACGTTAATCAGGGACACAGAATTGTTACTGAGGGCCACAGAACTGTTAGGGCCACAGAATTGTTACTCGCACAGACACAGAATTGTTACTCGCACAGACACAGAATTGTTACTGAGGGCCACAGAACTGTTACTTGGGGCCACAGAAACGTTAATCAGGGACACAGAATTGTTACTGAGGGCAACAGAACTGTTACTTAGGGCCACAGAATTGTTACTCGCACTCGCACAGACACAGAATTCTTACTCGCACAGACACAGAATTGTTACTCAGGGACACAGAACTGTTACTGAGGGCCACAGAACTGTTACTTAGGGCCACAGAATTGTTACTCGCACAGACACAGAATTGTTACACAGGGACACAGAATTGTTACTGAGGGCCACAGAACCGTTACTTAGGGCCACAGAATTGTTACTGAGAGCAACAGAACTGTTACTTAGGGCCACAGAATTGTTACTCGCACAGACACAGAATTGTTACTCAGGGACACAGAACTGTTACTGAGGGCCACAGAACTGTTACTTAGGGCCACAGAATTGTTACTCGCACAGACACAGAATTGTTACTCAGGGACACAGAACTGTTACTGAGGGCCACAGAACTGTTACTTAGGGCCACAGAATTGTTACTCGCACAGACACAGAATTTTTACACAGGGACACAGAATTGTTACTGAGGGCCACAGAACCGTTACTTAGGGCCACAGAATTGTTACTCAGGGACACAGAATTGTTACTGAGGGCCACAGAACTGTTACTTAGGGCCACAGAATTGTTACTCGCACAGACACAGAATTGTTACTCAGGGACACAGAACTGTTACTGAGGGCCACAGAACTGTTACTTAGGGCCACAGAATTGTTACTCGCACAGACACAGAATTGTTACTCAGGGACACAGAACTGTTACTGAGGGCCACAGAACTGTTACTTAGGGCCACAGAATTGTTACTCGCACAGACACAGAATTGTTACACAGGGACACAGAATTGTTACTGAGGGCCACAGAACCGTTACTTAGGGCCACATAATTGTTACTGAGGGCCACAGAACTGTTACTTAGGGCCACAGAATTGTTACTCGCACAGACACAGAATTGTTACTCAGGGACACAGAACTGTTACTGAGGGCCACAGAACCGTTACTTAGGGCCACAGAATTGTTACTCAGGGACACAGAATCGTTTAATTAAAGAGTATGTCAGACAACATGCAGAGGAGTGGCAGAGGAGGCAATGTTTTAGGAGCGAGCAGACGTGGCAGCAGAGGAAGGGGTCGAGGCAGCACTATTCGCAGCCAGAGGCTAGTGCTCCCGGTGTCATCCAGTACAGTGAGGAAGAGCTAACAGAGGGCGGTCAGGAACGGGGGGAGACATCCGCCTTTCAGCAGCCAGGCGAAGAAGTAGTGGCGAGGAGAGTGGCTCGGTAGCCGGTGTAGAGACAGGTCTGTCTCCTGACCCACACGCAGCCGAGGGGGCTAGTAGTGAGGCGGAGACCCTAATTGATGATGATGAGGCTGATCGCACTTGGCAGCCTCGTCGTCATCAGGCTATTGCTTCCGCATCATCAGGAGAAGAGGGTGGCAGCTTGGCAGCGAGCAAAACAGTCGGTGGGTTGTCTCCATCGCCACACTCTGCCATGTGCCACTTTCAGGTCTCCTCACACACTGCTGGTGTGTTGAATTTTTTGACATAGGGTGCTGGCAGATTACGGGCCTCCCATAGCTGCTGCCAGGCCCCTAATCTGCCATGGGCCCCTATACCGCCTCCTCATGCTGCTGCCAGGTCCACAGTCTCTCATGCCATGTGCCACTTTCAGGTCTCCTCACACTGCTGGTGTGTTGAATTTTTTTGACATAGGGTGCTGGCAGATTACGGGCCTCCCATAGCTGCTGCCAGGCCCCTAATCTGCCATGGGCCCCTATATACCGCCTCCTCATGCTGCTGCCAAGTCCAAAGTCTCTCATGGGTCCCTGTACGGCCTCCCATTGCTGCTGTCTCCATCGCCACACTCTGCCATGTGCCACTTTCAGGTCTCCTCACACACTGCTGGTGTGTTGAATTTTTTGACATAGGGTGCTGGCAGATTACGGGCCTCCCATAGCTGCTGCCAGGCCCCTAATCTGCCATGGGCCCCTATACCGCGCATCCTCATGCTGCCAGGTCCTCATGCTGCTGCCAGGTCCACAGTGTCTCTCCATGCCATGTGCCACTTTCAGGTCTCCTCACACTGCTGGTGTGTTGAATTTTTTGACATAGGGTGCTGGCAGATTACGGGCCTCCCATAGCTGCTGCCAGGCCCCTAATCTGCCATGGGCCCCTATATACCGCCTCCTCATGCTGCTGCCAGGTCCAGAGTCTGTCATGGGTCCCTGTACGGCCTCCCATTGCTGCTGTCTCCATCGCCACACTCTGCCATGTGCCACTTTCAGGTCTCCTCACACTGCTGGTGTGTTGAATTTTTTGACATAGGGTGCTGGCAGATTACGGGCCTCCCATAGCTGCTGCCAGGCCCCTAATCTGCCATGGGCCCCTATTACCGCCTCCTCATGCTGCTGCCAGGTCCATGCATGCCCTGTACGGCAGGTCCCAGTCTCTCATGCCATGTGCCACTTTCAGGTCTCCTCACACTGCTGGTGTGTTGAATTTTTTGACATAGGGTGCTGGCAGATTACGGGCCTCCATAGCTGCTGCCAGGCCCCTAATCTGCCATGGGCCCCTATATACCGCCTCCTCATGCTGCTGCTGCTGCCAGGTCCAGAGTCTGTCATGGGTCCCTGTACGGCCTCCCATTGCTGCTGTCTCCATCGCCACACTCTGCCATGTGCCACTTTCAGGTCTCCTCACACACTGCTGGTGTGTTGAATTTTTTGACATAGGGTGCTGGCAGATTACGGGCCTCCCATAGCTGCTGCCAGGCCCCTAATCTGCCATGGGCCCCTATACCGCCTCCTCATGCTGCTGCCAGGGGTCCACAGTCTCCCATCATGCCATGTGCCACTTTCAGGTCTCCTCACACACTGCTGGTGTGTTGAATTTTTTGACATAGGGTGCTGGCAGATTACGGGCCTCCTATAGCTGCTGCCAGGCCCCTAATCTGCCATGGGCCCCTATACCGCCTCCTCATGCTGCTGCCAGGTCCAGGCGAACGTAGTCACACAGGGGAGGAACTTCTGAGTGTAATGAACAGAGAGAATCGACAGATGGCTGTCTCCGCGCAAACTGAAAATCGGAACCATGTTGACCGACAACGGAAAGAACATGGTGTCTGCTCTGCGTCAAGGAAGGTTGTGCCATGCGCCATGCGCCATGCATGGCTCACGTGTTCAATCTGGTTGTCAAGCGGTTCCTAAAATCCACCATCCCACTGCAAGACATCCTTAAAATGTCACGTAAACTTTGCATGCATTTCAGCCATTCCTACACCGCAAAGCACACCCTCCTTTGAGCTGCAGCGGCAGAACGGAATTCCACATCATCGCCTGATCTGCGACGTTGCAACAAGGTGGAATTCAACCCTACACATGTTAGACCGCCTTTACGAACAGCGAAAGGCCATCACCGATTTCCTGATGTTACAAGCGGATAAAGGTACTCCTCTGTGTAACTTTGATGTCAGCCATTGGCAGCTCATGCGTGACACCTGCCGCTTGCTCAGGCCCTTTGAGGAGGCCACGCTATTCGTGAGTCGCCAGGACTATGGGATGAACGACGTCATTCCTCTGTTGCACGTCCTGGAACAAATGCTGTTAACAATGGCTGGTCAGGGTGCGGTAGACGTGGCGCACAGATCTCAACGCCACATGACCCCTGTGGGGGCAGGACAGGAAGAAGAGGAGGAGGTAGAGGAGGACATTGGTGCTCAGGAATTATTGAGTGAAATGGGTGGTTTTTCCACTCAGCGGACAGGAGTGGAGGAGCAGGAGCATCTGGTAGAGGAGGAGGAGGAGGAGACAGAGGACCCAGACGCACCGTGGCAGTATGCTGTGGAGATGGAGGCAGGGAGTCCCTCGCATTCCTTGGCACAAATGGCCCATAGCATGCTCGGTTGCTTGCGTAGCGACAGCCGAATAATAACCATCAGACAGAGGGATGACTTTTGGCTGTCCACCTTGTTGGACCCTCGCTACCGTTCAAAAATGGTGGCCTTTTTCACACCTGCTGAGAGAGGGAGGCCAAAATAACGTACTATAAAAACCACCTATGTAGTCAGTTGGTCTCTGCCTTTGTGCGCCAACGTCCATCCTCAGACACTGTGGGCCCTGTGCGCTCGCGTTCCGCTGCCATGGCAGCAGGGGAGGGGTGGGGGTGGTAGGAGCAGTGGCAGCTCCACCAGCAGCGGCTGCCTCAGTCTGCAGTCGATGATGAGTAGCTTTCTTCACCAGCGCAGTGAGGAAACTACTAACCAGCCGCAGCAGCAGCAGCAGCAGCAGCAGCAGCAGCATCAGGTGGACCTGGAGCAGGACCTCAAACAACAGGCTTGGGCCTACTTGGACAGCACCCTGCCAACCGAGGTAGACAATCCCCTTGACTACTGGGCAACGAAACTTGACCTTTGGCCCCAACTAGCTGAATTTGCCCTTGAAAGGCTGTCATGCCCCGGCCAGTAGCGTGGCATCGGAGCGCGTGTTTAGTGCGGCAGGAGGTATTGTAACTCCGCGGAGGACACGACTGTCCACCCAAAGTGTGGAGAGACTCACGTTTGTGAAAATGAATCAGGCGTGGATTAGTCTGGATTTCAAACCACCAGTTCCTGACACAACTGACTAAATCCGCCATGAATCATGCCTCAAACATCTGTGTGCCACTTTCAGGTCTCCTCACACACACTGCTGGTGTGTTGAATTTTTTGACATAGGGTGCTGGCAGATTACGGGCCTCCCATAGCTGCTGCCAGGCCCCTAATCTGCCATAGGCCCCTATATACCGCCTCCTCATGCTGCTGCCAGGTCCAGAGTCTCTCATGGGTCCCTGTACGGCCTCCCATTGCTGCTGTCTCCATCGCCACACTCTGCCATGTGCCACTTTCAGGTCTCCTCACACACTGCTGGTGTGTAGTGTTCAATTTTTTGACATAGGGTGCTGGCAGATTACGGGCCTCCCATAGCTGCTGCCAGGCCCCCCTAATCTGCCATGGGCCCCTTACCGCCTCCTCATGCTGCTGCCAGTCCAGAGTCTCTCATGGGTCCCTGTACGGCCTCCCATTGCTGCTGTCTCCATCGCCACACTCTGCCATGTGCCACTTTCAGGTCTCCTCACACACTGCTGGTGTGTGTAGAATTTTTTGACATAGGGTGCTGGCAGATTACGGGCCTCCCATAGCTGCTGCCAGGCCCCTAATCTGCCATGGGCCCCTATATACCGCCTCCTCATGCTGCTGCCAGGTCCAGAGTCTCTCATGGGTCCCTGTACGGCCTCCCATTGCTGCTGTCTCCATCGCCACACTCTGCCATGTGCCACTTTCAGGTCTCCTCACACACTGCTGGTGTGTTGAATTTTTTGACATAGGGTGCTGGCAGATTACGGGCCTCCCATAGCTGCTGCCAGGCCCCTAATCTGCCATGGGCCCCTATATACCGCCTCCTCATGCTGCTGCCAGGTCCAGAGTCTCTCATGGGTCCCTGTACGGCCTCCCATTGCTGCTGTCTCCATCGCCACACTCTGCTGCCATGTGCCACTTTCAGGTCTCCTCACACACTGCTGGTGTGTTGAATTTTTTGACATAGGGTGCTGGCAGATTACGGGCCTCCTATAGCTGCTGCCCAGGCCCCTAATCTGCCATAGGCCCCTATATACCGCCTCCTCATGCTGCTGCCAGGTCCAGAGTCTCTCATGGGTCCCTGTACGGCCTCCCATTGCTGCTGTCTCCATCGCCACACTCTGCCATGTGCCACTTTCAGGTCTCCTCACACACTGCTGGTGTGTTGAATTTTTTGACATAGGGTGCTGGCAGATTACGGGCCTCCCATAGCTGCTGCCAGGCCCCTAATCTGCCATAGGCCCCTATATACCGCCTCCTCATGCTGCTGCCAGGTCCAGAGTCTCTCATGGGTCCCTGTACGGCTCCCATTGCTGCTGTCTCCATCGCCACACTCTGCCATGTGCCACTTTCAGGTCTCCTCACACTGCTGGTGTGTTGAATTTTTTGACATAGGGTGCTGGCAGATTACGGGCCTCCTATAGCTGCTGCCAGGCCCCTAATCTGCCATGGGCCCCTATATACCGCCTCCTCATGCTGCTGCCAGGTCCAGAGTCTCTCATGGGTCCCTGTACGGCCTCCCATTGCTGCTGTCTCCATCGCCACACTCTGCCATGTGCCACTTTCAGGTCTCCTCACACACTGCTGGTGTGTGTTGAATTTTTTGACATAGGGTGCTGGCAGATTACGGGCCTCCCATAGCTGCCAGGCCCCTAATCTGCCATGGCCCCTATATACCGCCTCCTCATGCTGCTGCCAGGTCCAGAGTCTCTCATGGGTCCCTGTACGGCCTCCCATTGCTGCTGTCTCCATCGCCACACTCTGCCATGTGCCACTTTCAGGTCTCCTCACACACTGCTGGTGTGTTGAATTTTTTGACATAGGGTGCTGGCAGATTACGGGCCTCCCATAGCTGCTGCCAGGCCCCTAATCTGCCATAGGCCCCTATATACCGCCTCCTCATGCTGCTGCCAGGTCCAGAGTCTCTCATGGGTCCCTGTACGGCCTCCCATTGCTGCTGTCTCCATCGCCACACTCTGCCATGTGCCACTTTCAGGTCTCCTCACACTGCTGGTGTGTTGTTTGAATTTTTTGACATAGGGTGCTGGCAGATTACGGGCCTCCCATAGCTGCTGCCAGGCCCCTAATCTGCCATAGGCCCCTATATACCGCCTCCTCATGCTGCTGCCAGGTCCAGAGTCTCTCATGGGTCCCTGTACGGCCTCCCATTGCTGCTGTCTCCATCGCCACACTCTGCCATGTGCCACTTTCAGGTCTCCTCACACACTGCTGGTGTGTTCCAATTTTTTGACATAGGGTGCTGGCAGATTACGGGCCTCCCATAGCTGCTGCCAGGCCCCTAATCTGCCATGGGCCCCTATATACCGCCTCCTCATGCTGCCAGGTCCAGAGTCTCATGGGTCCCTGTACATTGCTGCTGTCTCCATCGCCACACTGCCATGTGCCACTTTCAGGTCTCCTCACACTGCTGGTGTGTTGAATTTTTTGACATAGGGTGCTGGCAGATTACGGGCCTCCCATAGCTGCTGCCAGG